GAAACTTGGCTCCTGATAACTTATGGCAAGACTATGTCATGAACAAAAGTTATTCCCAATTGATTGCTAAAATGTTTTAATCAACAAATTAAAACTCTGAGAGCAGAGTAGCTAGTTTACAGAATACAATACAAACATATGTTTAGATACAAAAGCTCTATTTTGTTTCAAAAGACATGTGTACCCCACTGTTTTTTACTCTATACATGTGCTCTATATACACAAATGTAAATTCTAGAATAAGCTTAAATTTTAAACTTAACCAAAAATTTAAGGAAAAAAAGAATAACATTAGATGCTAAACATGGACAAAGAAGAAAAGGTAATAACCTCTTACCTGTACTTCGATTTGTAGATCTTTGTCTAGGAGTGCTCTCTTTTTCAGTATTTCTGCTTTGAGTTGTTCCTTGTGTTTGAAGAGCAGAGCAGAGAGTTTGGTAGCATTCTGCTTGCTACGTTTCTGTTCCACGCTCTCTTCGCGCTTCCGTTTTTTTGCTGCCTGTTTTTCTTCTTTATCTATCTTATCCAAAATATACTTCATCACCTGGTTACAGACAATCATTCTAGAGAAAAATATACAACCTATGTAATGCTGGGCGTTTCATTCTGAAAGGCTTAAGACATGATTCTTCTATGTCTCTATGGATGATATACAAACTTTCTGTGACTGGAAAGCTTCAAAAAGTGATTCAAACCAGTTATGAGCAACTATTACTGCCAAGTGTTCTCATTTAATAAACTTCAATCAAGATAAAAAAATATAAACTCAGAACTTTTGTGCATGTGCACGCTAAAGAAAAGAAACTGATATATACAACCCTGTCCTTCTCCCTACCTTTGATTCTCTTCTCTTTCAGCTGGAGTCATGGTCTTTTTCTGTTTTAAATGTTCTATTACAGCATTATGCTTCATCACCACCTTCAAGACAGAACAAATCCAGAAGCGCATATTTTATAACGACCACAAGTTAGTACATAGATAACAACAGTTAAGAATCTGAGCACATATATGTGTTTTCAAAAATAAGTGTAACGATTTTATATAATACAAATAAAATTAGCAGCTGCTATATGGCCTGGGTGCTTACCGTATGCTGGGTACAGTGCTAACCTAAGCACTTCACATTGCCTCACTCATTCCTCATGACAACACTGAACCACAGGAACAATTTTATAAATGAGATATTGAGACATAAAGAAATCAACCAACTTGTTGGAGATTAAACAATAAGTAATTTAGCTGGAATTTTACCCCAGCTATCATTCTCCAAAGGCCATGTTTTTAACATTATGCTCTCTTCCCAAGCATTAATTTTAAAGAGTTGTCCACAGACCCCCCCCGACACAAAGAGGAGGGGATAGATAATGTATTAATTCTCAATTTATAGATTATACAATACTGAATTGGGTAATAATGCATTTGAACATATTATACATGACATCAATAGGAATATTACATCTTTAAAATCATTGCTGTTTAAAAAATGCTTCTACATATATGACCTAATTTAATCATTATAATACTCTTGTGTGGCTGGAAAGAGAGGAGTTTTAATGAAGATATAGCTCAGGGGAGATAAGTGAGTTTCATGGACTGTGAACGGGAGACCCAGGAATTGAATGACGGTCTCATGACTACCATGGTACACTTGAAATCCACACTCAAACTCCTGCCTAGTGTTGAGCTGGGCACACTGTAGATGAAAAGAAAGTTTTCTCCAGTAATGCTACAGGACGTTATATGTGTGATTTCATTTTAGGAATTTAATTCTAACTCATCTAAATTGCCTTACTTCTCTAGATGCCATTGCAAGATGTTGCTGCATAATGTCACTTTTTATTTAAGCTATGGAATAGTATGTATTTAAAACTTTTTACAAAGGTTTGGCTAGAAATGTAAATGAATTTAACCTGTTTTTAATTTGCTTAGACTACATGCAAACTAAAGAATGACACCTGCAAATAACTTCAAACAAATTGCTATGATGCCTAAAGTGGCTTTAAAACTTAGTTAACCTTCAAGTTTTGTATTAATGATGCTTAAACTCATAGCTCCATTCTTCCCATTTTAGTTCTCCCAAAATACAGTAGTTTCTAATAAGCACTGACTATATATATTGAAACCATAGTAGTCATTCAATATTTTTCGGTCAATGCAGTGCTGCTTCTAAATTTAAAACATCAATGACTTTGTCTCATTTAGGAGACCTAACACAACCAAACACTAAGTCTAACGCACAGCACAAGAATTCAACCTACTGAACATGCTGCTTTTACTTAATAACTTTACCTGTTTCTGAATGATTTCACTTTGATTAGAAGCTTGGAGGGTGTGTTCACGCTTAATTTCTATCTGTTGCTGTTTCTTCTTTTGCTGCTGATCCCTGAGTTGCTGAACCCTCTGCAACTGCTCTTGCACACTGGCTGCCTGCACTGTAACCACATTCTGAATCTGGTGAGTCTGCACAGGACTGCTTTGCTGAATTTGAATAGGTAATTGGAGTTTGATTTGCTGGGGCACACCACCTTGCTGAGCCTGTATCTGAGCCACAACCTGAGATTGGATCTGAGAGAGAACCTGGACTTGTTGCAGCTGCGGCACAGCAATGACTTGGGGCTGTGGCTGCTGTATTTGTAGCTGAGAACAGGATGGGGATGAAACAGTAACTTGATTTAACGTTTGTCCTGATGAAAGAGTTTGAGTTGAAGACTGTACCTGGGGTTGTGATTGTGGCTGGCCTTGGGAAGGTATCTGAAGAGATGTATGTGGTTGAATTGGAATCGGTTGTGAGGCTGTAGTCTGAACCTGGGATTGCTGTCCAGGAGACACTTGGGATGGAGTTGATGGACGTATTCGAGTCTGTGGTGGACTTTGGACACGAACAGGAGACTGTCCTTGGACATTACTCTGAGGCTGACTCTGTGCTGCAACTTGGAGTTTGGATGACTGTGCTTGGGTGGGTTGTGCTTCAGAAGGCACATGGGATGAAACAGTTGTTTGGGTCTGAACTTCAGGCTGAGTCTGAACGTCAGGCTGAGCTGGGGACTGGGGCTGGGTTTGGGGCTGGGGCTGAGCTGAAGGCTGTGCAGTCTGTGGCTGGGCTTCTGGAGGATTCACACTTGATGACTGAACTTGTGGCAGGGTTTTGACTTGCTGCACCTGTGTCTGGGGAGATAATTTACTCTGTTTTTGTTCACTTGTACCTGTGAAAAGGAAAGACAAATCATTTCTATTACTCGAGAACATAAGACTGTCAAAGAAGAATTTGAAGGGGATTTTCTAAAGTTGAGAATTCTATATTTCATTATAAAAGATTTTTGCCTTTGAAATGCTCCATTTAGACATGCTCAAGGTTAGAACTCTCCTAAAATGGGAAGCCCAGGCCCTGTTTCTTGGCTGCCCTCCATACACTTTGCTAACTCTCCAGAGGGCTGGCTTCCAAAGCAAGGCGCAACCTCTGGAAACCAGCCAGGTCTTCTGGCCCAGGCTAATGACAAGCCTTGCTGTAGGAGGGTGACAAAGTGGTCTGGATCTGCAGTTCTCAATCACAGGTTATAAGCTGAATAGATCTACCTGCCCTGAGATGACATCCATGATTTAATCAGTGTCTATAAGGCTTGGCAAAGAATATGCATGGGCACAGTTACCATGATATCCATTATTTTTGCCCCTTTTCTATATATTTTTTATGTGGGGGAAAGAGGGGTGGTGGTGACAGAGAGTCTGTAAGAACAAGACACAAAAGCACTGAGATACTGTGAGGCCGACAATGTCAACTGTTTAGTTCGTTGGCTTGAGGCATATCCTCCCAAATGATATCTTCTTGGACCCTCTGTTAGCCCAGCCATGTGAGGTAACATTCGGCATTTCTGATGAAGCCCAAGTCCTACCTGCTGCTGTAGTGGAAACGGTGGTGGTAGTGGTGGTACTGGCTGCTGTGGCTGTTGTTGCCAATGGGGTAAAGAGGAACCGCTGAACAGTACCATTTGGCATCGCAGCTTGCATTAGCTGCTGTCCTGGACCTGGGAGTATAGTCACCCCTTGAGGTATCAACTGCAACTGTCCAGTAGTTTGACCTTGTCCTTGAATTACTACTGTCAAACCTTGATTGCCACCCTGTGAAAAAAACATACAACATGTAAACAGTGTTCAAAGCATCAATCTGTATGTCTAGCCTTTTTACTAAATCATTTTTATGTTGTAAAGGTCCTTTAATATAATGAAAATATGTATTTGAGCTGGTTGGTTAGCTCAGTTGGTCAGAGCATGGTACTATTACGCCAAGGTCCAGGGTTTGATCCCTGTACCAGCCAGCCAAAAAAAAAACGTACAAAAAACAAAAACAAAGAAAATATATATTTGAATGTCTATAGTATAGGAGGAATTTAGATAAGCTAAAATAAGAATATTTATGTCGTTTATTGGAAAAAACACGAACAATCCAGAGTTCCAGTCCAAGCTCTCCAAATGGACAGCCAAGTATCAATCTACAAGCAACACCATTTCTCCAGATCCAAGTTTCCCAATCTATAAAATAAGGTCAGTGAAGTGAATGACTAAGGTCTCCACAAAATTCTGATTTTAAACCATCTTATATTCATATTATTTTACAGTTTTCAAAATATCTTCATACATGTTGCCCCATTTGATTTTCACAATGGACTTGTGACATCGTGAATTAGGCAGAGAAGATATTACTATAATCTTATTTACAATTAAGAAACTCAGGTTGGAAAGGTTAAGTCCCTTGTCCAAGTTAAAGGTGAGATAAAATGAGGAACCCAGGTCCCCTGAATTTTGTTTTTTTCGGTATGTACCAAATTACCTCAGTGTGTGTTTATATGTGCTAAAGTATAAAAAGCATAGGGTTTCGATATGGAATGCAAACACTAAGTCAGGAGGATCACTAAGGTCCAAATAGTTGATTAATACTGGAATATTCAATTTGCTAAGTCTAGCAACGAAGCAGCTTAATGGACTCAAATTTTATTTTTCCCATTGCAATCAGCCAACTAATAAGATTTTTGTGGTTAAAAGGGTTATCCATCTCACTGGTATAGCTCACCGTCTAAGAACTCTAGATAGTTGGGGTCTATTATATCTCCTGCCTGTAAGAAATATTTTTGATTCCAAGAAGCAGCCAATTCTTAAAATAAGTATGTTTTTAAACTTACCAAAATTAGTACATGTTTGTTTTGTTTTTTTTTTTCCCTTTTTTGTCTTTTTTACTGACCGGTAACGGGATCGCAACCCTCGGTGTCGCGCCCGTACCGGGGACCGGCAACGGGATCACAACCCTCGGTGTTGTGCCCGCACCGCGCTCAGCCAGTGAGTGGGAACCGGTCTCCACATGGGATCCGACCCTCGGCAGGAGCGCCGTCGCGCTCCCAAGCGGCACACTCTCCAGTGCGCCACCGGGCCGGCCCTAGTACATGTTTTTAACGTTACAGCAAGAATAAATAAGATCTCCCCTAAGTTATATTACTTACATGGCCCTGTGTTAACTGAGTGAGTTGAGCCATGGTAAGCTTCACTTGTCCTTGCTGGGGGCGAGAGGGCTGTGAGGTTGAAGACTGTAGATTTGCAGTGGATGTTCCTGAAGTTAAGCCTTTCTGCCCAGGAGTTGAGGAAACTGTGTTAGGGGCAGAGATTGCAGTGGAAACAGGCTGCCCTCTGATGATCTGCGTCACCACTTGTTGAGGAGTACCTACAAACATCAAAACATTATGAATGCTTATATGCCTTTAGCATTTAGACTTGAAATAATTCAGCGCTTCAGGTGAATGTATTCTTTTCAGTTTTCAAAAGGACATGGGGATGCCGACAGCCCAAAGATGTATTCAGACATATGCCCACACCCACAGGACCTGCCTGATGGCAGTAAGCCTGTTTTCATTCAGCTCACTGACAACCATTATCCAGTACTGCTCTCTGTAATAGACCCAGAAAAAAAAGTCTTCCTGTCAATCTAAAGCCAAAATGACAATAGAGAAGACAAAAGAATATATGTAAAATATGCCATCTATAAGACTGCCTTTTCTTAGGAATATAATATTAAAAATAAGATAACTTAATACATCATTAATTCATATATATTTTAAACATAAAGGATCTGGAACATCCTGGGCCAAATGTATTAAAAATAAGCTTATCTTACAGATATTTGACAGATAGTTTGGGAGGACCATGAAGGCAAGAACCACTACATCCTCAATACCACAATGGAGTGCTCAAAAAATGCTTTCATAGTAATTGTTCAATAAATGTCTACTGAACGAATCAAGTTTATTTGGAATGGCTCCATAGTCTTCCAAAAACCTCTGTGTCTTGTTTAAATTGCTGAAAGTAGAAAAAAAGGCAAGAAGAATTTCCCCCTCTGCGGAATAGTTGCTAAGCGTAATTACTCGGTAGCCAATGGGGTATTTACAAACTCATTACTAGTGATTAACATCAGATTTCTGAAGTTTTTGTATTTACTTCCTGACTTTCTTTTCTTCTGTGAATACATATGTATTTCTCTGTATGCATTTCTTTTAATGACTGGATAGTGTTTCATATTATTGCCCACGTGTAAACTTGAACTTATTTTGACATTCAGAATACTTTTCCTTTCTTTTTTCTGTTAAAATAATGCCATCGTGAAATCCTTGCTTATAACCTTGCTTGCTTCTGATGATTTCCTTAAAATAAACTCCTAAAAATATTACTGGGGTAATGGTTGGAACACAGTACTGAACTGAACTGAACTTTAGACAGGTTATACCAATTCTGGGCTAGCTGGTTAGCTCAGTTGGTTAGAAAGCAGGGTTGCTAACACCAAGGTCAAGGGTTCAGATCCCCATACCAGCCAGTGGCCAAAAAAGAAAAAAATTTATACAATTCACACTCCCAGCACCTCTCAGTGCCCATTTCATTGAACCCTGCCAAACCTAGGTATCATTACTAAATTAAAATATTCTGGCAATCAGAAATAATATCACAGTTCTTGAACTTCCTCAATCATGACAGAAGGCCATTTAAAACTGTTTCAAGTCATTCATTGTGCTTCATTTGTGAACTCTCCACGCACTGCTCCTTTTCCTATTTATTTAATATGTACTTTTAAATAATGTATTTTTCCCAGTTTGCCATGTGCCTTTTAATTTTATTTGTTTTTAAACCTACACAGTCTTTCTAATGTGGTCAAGTAGACCACAGACTTTTTTTTTGGCTTAAAAAGTACTCTTCATTCTCTCATTAGATATATCCCCCCAAGTATGTTCTCAGTCACAGTATATGTTGTGAGACAGAAGTTTATTTCTCCTCCAAACTATAAACCAATTTTTCCAGTTATCATTTACTGATTCAAAATGACACCTTTGTCATACAACAAATTCTTATATATAATGTCTCTTTAATTGCATCGATCTGTGTTTTCTTTGGTGTCACGCTCCTAATCCTGGTGGCTTTATAATATACTTTAACACCTAGCAGTGCAAATTTTCCATTTTTACTCCTCTTCTAAACTTTTCTTGATTATTTTTATCCATTTATCCAAGATGAATCAAAAGACAGTACACCACAGCATGGTCAAGTGCTTTGATTTGAGAACTTCTGGACCCCCAACACTGTGTGTTTGCACTGCAGTTCAAGGAACAATATATAAAAGTTATTACTTCAGGTGATCACCTGGTGTTGATACACTGCCATCATAAACACAGACAGAGAAAAGGATTAGTGCCGATTAAAAGTTATATAAAGGTCATTCAGATGATCCCCAATATGTACATGCTAATTTACTTTTACATTATCAACTAGATGCAAATTCAAAAATTTAGTAATTTCCAATTATACCCTGGGAGTATGTGGATCCCATTTTAAGAAATGCTAGTGTGGTGGCAGGAAGGATAGGTTCCAGTGCGATCTGCACACACCCAGAGACACAGCCCACACATACTCACCCACCATCTGCCTCTCCGGCCACAGCTCCTCTGACTCTCTCCCCTCCTCGTCCTCCCCATGCCCTCCAGCTCCACTAGTCACCTTGCCTTCCTTTCAATGCACCAGGCTCCCCACTACCTCAGGCCCTTTGTATTTGCTGTTCTTTCTTCATGAAAAACTCTTTCCCCAGATATCTGAACAGCTCTTTCATTCCCTCCAGGTCTTTACTCAAATTTTGCCATCTCAGTAAGTCCTTCTCTGACCATCTTTTCTAAAATTTGAACTCTCCCGGCAAATCACTCCCAAACCCCAACTGGCCAACATTTCTATCCCCATCTCCCCTCTGTTTCATTGTTTAACATGATACATATGTAAAATTCATATACTCTTACATATAACATGTATTTTTAAAATATATGTATATATAAAATTAATTTATCTGGTTATTGTCCACCTTTTCCACCAGACTGTAAGTTTCATGAGGGCAGTTGTTTTTTCTGATTAGTTTACAACTGTAGTCATCTGGGCCTGGAACAATGTCTGGCACATAGGTAGTACTGAATATCTGTTGAATAAATAAACTAATATCTGGAGTTGGGAATCAGATAAATCTACTTTGAGTCCCAGTTTAATAGTTTGAGAAATTACTCAATATTGTGAGTTTCAAATTCTTCACCTGTAAGATGGGGATAATATTAGTAATATACTTTATATAAAGACTAAATGAAAGCTTATGTATGAAGTGCATACGTGCTGGTACAGAGTAAATAATCAATACCTGACAGCTGCTTTTATTATTATTATAGCTAAGAAGCAATTACATGAAGGAAGACTTTGGTTAAAGTACACTAAAATGCGCACTGCACAGCCAGGTGGCAGGACTGGGCAGTTCATCATGTAAACCCCATCCTCACAGGGTATCTAAGATTTCAAGGAAGAAGACCGGCAAAACCCTAGGGGGTCTGGTGGTTGTGTGGAACCTACGGATTCACATATGCATGTCATGCAAACGTAACTGCAGTTACGTAAGGCGTTATAGGACAAAGGCTCTCTCTCTCTATAGTACTACCAGTATTGATACTTTACCTGGCAATTTACCAAATTTTTCAGTTTTCTAAGTATAGTATCATTTATCACCTATAAATTTTATTTTCTCTTTTACATTTTTATATCTTTCCTTTTAGTTACTTGCCTAAACTGACTGCTATAAATTTTAAATAGAAACGGATATTGAATTTTATCAATTGTCCCTGCAATATTAACTGAAATAATCATCTTTTCTTTTCTGGGGGTAAATTCTGTTTAGGCATAGAAGATTGTCTTAAAAAAACAAAAAACAGGGCCGGCCCGGTAGCGCACTGCTACAGTGCGCCACTTGGGA